CCAGTCGATCAGCACCTCAGTGACATCACCCTTGTTGCGCAAGGGGAAGACTGTGGTGTAACGCGAGTAGTCGTCAACCACCAACAGGAAGTAGCGCTCGTGACCGAGTCCACGGACGCGGGCAGGGCCCCACACGTCCATGTGAAGCGTCTGCAACGGAGCCTCTGTCGGAGGAAATTGGGAGGAGTGAGGGGTAGCACGCTGGCGCCCCTCGACACAGGTGACACACGCGGGGCCAGGGCCCTGAGGAAGGGGAGGGAGGGACCGGGGGAGACCAGACACAAGAAGACGGGAGGCCATGCCTCTGAGCCGAAGCAGAGAGGGGTGACCCAGGCGGTGGAACCAGAGGAGATTCTCGTGAGACAGGCGACGACACGAACAGGGGGCAGAGTCAGGACCAGACCTGGACGCTGCAGCAAACACCTGACCTGACGAAGGGACCCTACCAGACTCAGGAACTGGAGGAGAAGCAGTGGTCAGTGTGTACAGGCTCAACCCTGGCTGACGTGTAAACGTAGCCAGGTGACGACCTGTGCTAGCCTCTGTGCAGTGCGTCACCCGCTGACGAGCAGGGGTGAACTGGTGGACTCCCGCGTCCTGTAGGTCAGCACCACTCACCAAGTTCGTAGAGAACGAGGGGAGGTAGAGACCAGACAGGGTGCCAGAGGGAGCCGCCGGACACGGGAGGATTGTGGAGAAGCGAGACAGGACAGGACCCCCAGAGGGGTTAGCCACGGACACCGCAACCGGCCGACTAAGCGGCGTGAGTGTGGTGCGGTCCCGAAAGAAGGAGCGAGACGCTCCAGAGTCAAGAGTGAAGGTGTGGGAGGCCGAGGCCGACGCAGTACCTGAGAGCGCAGACTCACTAGTACCTGAGAGAGCAGCCTCACCAGTACCTGAGAGCACAGACGCACTGGCACCTAGAGCAGAAGCCTCAGTGACACCTAGAGCAGCAGTACCAATGCCCGGGTCGGGCGGGAAACACCGGTAACAGTCACCCTCATCACTAATGGTCACAGCGTACATGGCAGCAAGGATAGCATCAAAGTCAAGATCAAAGATAGCTACACCAGCCCTAGACAGCTCTCCCCAGCGGGGGATCTCCGCGGCCTCCGGGAACTGCTGGCGCCAAGCGTCCGTCAGGCGGCCAAAGCAGCGCTGGGCGGTGTGGGTACCCCCACACTGCTCTCCAGCACGGTCGCCAGTGCGAAGGACGTAGGTGCAGGGACCAAAACCCCCACCACGCTGACGCTGCGTGTACCACTCACGGAGCTGCTGAGGCGTTAGGAGGTCGCGAGAACGCTGCGGCTGCTGCTGCTGGCGCTGACCACCCCCAGTGCTGCTCCGCTGCGAAGTGCCACTAGACCATTGGGATAAAAGGGCTTGTTTCAGTAGCGGGTCAGTGCGCCCATATCCCCCCAGGCAAACGCGCCTGTAACCCCCCCCAGGATCGATCAGGGATCTCACAATGTTGCTCTACTGGCACCCCCCCACACTGGGAGGCCCAGGACTGAGCACAGTGGCAATGGCCAACATGTGCATACACTGGGATTCGAACCCGAGATCGCTCTGATACCATGAGAAGAAGTGAACGAGGATGAAATGACTATGAATGAAGTGAGTACAAATAGGAAACCCTAATGGGATTGTACCCCCTATGGGATACCCCACTATAGCCTACAAAAATGAGTAAGCTATAAAGTTCTGACACAGCCAACCCTGGAAATGCGCAAAAGTTGGAGTAGATCAACGCGGCAAGGTTTGTCAAAATCCTAAGTCGAGTTGGGCTTAGGAGCCATAGTTGGGAGTGACTTAGTTCGAGTTGAAGGGTTGAAGGAAAAAGTGTCGAGAGATTTTGGAAGGAGAAAAGTGTTTCAATAATAGAAGGCATACAAGATATAGTCAAGGAAATGGGCAAATGGTGCACCACCAAGCAGGAAACTATAACTACACTAAACTCTACTGTAGGCATTTATAAATGTATACGAATACATTTCAACACACCCCCTAAATGCCTACAGCTAGAATCGTGTGCAGTACACCTCTTGCAGAGGTACACCAAGTGCAAAGAAAGCAGCAACAACAGACAAGGTAATAGAGCAAGTACAGTAGCAAAGGGGCAGGCACTCCTGCCACCCCTTTACTCTCCTCCCCTCCCCCCCCCCCCACAAGGAATGGGGGGTGGTTGGTCTCACACCCGCCACCCCAATCCCAATGCCACTCCCCTGGCTCCCCACACCCTCACACCCTCCCCCCCAGCGGCAGCTGCAGCAGTGGGAACGAAAGGAGGAGGAGGGGAAGGGAAACACACCACCCATCACCCCCACACCCGCCACCCCCAGACCCTCCCCCCCGCAGCTGCAGGGAGACGAAGGAGAATGGGGGGGGGGGGGGAGGGGGGGGGGCCGACGCACGGCCTTTCAGGGCGCCAAAGCAGGCGGCAGAGGGGGCGACGCTTGCCCCCCCCTTCCAGGTCGCCTCGACAGGTGACGGGAAAAGGGGGGGGGGGGGGGGGGGGGGGTGGGGTGCACGTGCCCGCGGTGTGCCGCAGCTGGTGACGGGGCATGGCCGGGGCGGGGTCGGGGCCGCAAGTGGCGGCGACGGGGCCGTTGGCGGCGGCGACGGGGCCGCTGGAGGCGGCGATGGGGCCGATGGAGGCGGCGACGGGGCCGCTGGCGGCGACGACGGGGCTGATGAAGAGCGGCGACTGGGCCGCGGAAGGGCGGCGACGGGGCCATTGAAAGGGTGGGGACGGGGCCGCTGAAAGGGCGGCGACGGGGCCGCTGAAAGGGCGGCGACGGGGCCGATGAAGAGCGCCGACGGGGCCGCGGAAGGGCGGCGACGGGGCCGCGAAGGGGCCGCGAGGGGCCTGAAAGGGCGGCAACGGGGCCGCTAAGAGAAAGTTAAGGGGCAAGCCACGGGGCGTGCCGAACACAGAGTAGCGGCGGAAGCAGTAAGGCGGGCCCACAGGCCAGGACCGTAATCACTCTGATAGCATGTCAAAATCCTAAGTCAAGTTGGGCTTAGGAGCCATAGTTGGGAGTGACTTAGTTCGAGTTGAAGGGTTGAAGGAAAAAGTGTCGAGAGATTTTGGAAGGAGAAAAGTGTTTCAATTATAGAAGGCATACAAGATATAGTCAAGGAAATGGGCAAATGGTGCACCACCAAGCAGGAAACTATAACTACACTAAACTCTACTGTAGGCATTTATAAATGTATACGAATACATTTCAACAAGGTTTACTTGTAAGTTGTGCTGGTCGTTCATGTCGGTCTTCGGCAATGTTTAGTGCACATCGGATCGTGGACGGCGGTCCGTGCGATCGTTGGCGATCGTTTGCTTTAATTGCCGATGCACTTGCGAGAGATTCAATTGAAGTAACATTTGTAAACTGTTTATGTGGGATGTAACTGCATATGATATAAAAAAAGATAATTGTACCGATAATATGCTGTGGTGTGTCTTTTTGAATAATATATGACGATTTGTACAGTAACAAAATGCAATTGGTAATTTTGCAATATACAATAATATTTTTGTATCACATTATTGATTGCACATAATGAAATTATAGGCTCCTGTAATTTTGCAATATAATAACCTAATTGAACACTACTAGAAAATTATTTGCTAGTTTGGAGCATGACATAATTAAAAAGGCATCAATTAGCACTATCAACCAGCATTATGTCTGACTCCCTAGTAGTTACTCCAACCACATTGTTCACTGCAATTAAAGCCACAGAACACATCAGCGCTTCTAGGGCAATCCTCTTGGAAATACATGGCTCTCATAGCCCTCAATAAGGATCTTCACGTTCGGGGACATCCTGAAGCCTGCCGGAGCAACAAGATCCCACACAGAATGGATGCTATTCTCGTACGTATCCTTGATCCAATTGACCATGTGGGAGATCTTCTTCTCGACATTCTATTGGTTGACCTGTCAGGCTTATATGACTTAGCCTATGTAGGCTATAGTGGGGCAGCACATATGGGGTACAACACATTTCTAGGTTTCGTACTTGAATCCAACTTTCCCTTAGTCATTCCATTCCTCGTTTCTTACCATGGTATCGAGCAGGTTCCCTAGTGGGAACGCTTCCTAGGGCCCACCATGATATTTTTTTTCCTGCCCGGAGCGCGCTTCGCTCCTGCCCGAGTCGCGCCCCGTGTGCCCTCCCTACCGTTGCGCCCTCTCACGGCCCCTTCGCGTCGCCCTTAGCGGCCCCTCTCACGGCCCCTCGCGCCGCCCTTACGGCCCCTCGCGCCGCCCTTACGGCCCCTCGCGCCGCCCTTACGGCCCCTAACGGCCCCTCGCGCCGCCCTTATGGCCCCTTACGGCCCCTCGCGCCGCCCGTCGGCCCCTAGCGCCGCCCTTACGGCCCCTTAAGGCCCCTCGCGCCGCCCGTCGGCCCCTTGCACCGCCCTTAACGGCCCCTTACGGCCCATCGCGCGGCCCCCTTCCGGCCCCTCGCGGCGCCCTTACGGCCCCTTGCACTGCCCTTCGCAGCCCCTCGCGGCCTCTTTACGGCCCGTTGCCGCCCTCCGCGGCACCTCGCGCCGCCCTTCACGGCCCCCTCGCCGCCCTTAGCGGCCTCTTGTGGCCCTGTCGCCGCCCTTCGCGGCCTCTTGTGGCCCTGTCGCCGCCCTTTGCAGCCCGCCGTCGCCGCCCCTACAGCAGCAGCCACCACAGTCCCTACAACAGCAGCCGCCGTCGTCCCTGCAGCAGCTGCTGCCGCCGTCCCTGCAGCAGCTACCGCCGTCCCTACAGCAGCAGCTGCCGCCGCCACCTCCCTCAGGGCCGCAGCCGCAGCCGCCGGTGCGCCTCGGCCCTACCGGCGTGCCTCGGCCCTTCCTGCGCGCCTCGGCCCGTCCCTGCCGGTGCGCCTCGGCCCTGCCAAACCACTTGCGGCTCTCTGCTCTGGTAAGAGTGTTGCTGCACTGCGCTGTCACTGCTGCCACTGCTGCTCCTACAGCCACTGCTGCCACTGCTGCCATGGCTACCCCCAGTGTCCTTACCTTTGGTGCTGAGGGCCGTGCTGTTGACTTTGAGGTCTGGGTCGAGGACCTCCAGCTGTTCCTACAGTGCGATAGGGCAGACGGACTCTCTCTGTTCGATCTCATCTCTGGTGTCTCTCCTGCCCCGCCTGCTACTGCTGACAGCACTGTTCGCTCACAGTGGGCCACACGCGATGCTGCTGCCCGCCTTGCTGTGCGTCGCCATTTACCGACCACTGAGCGTGTGCACTTTAGTCAGTACAAGAGTGCTAAGACCTTGTACGACGCTGTAGTTGCACGCTACTCCTCCCCTGCCACTACTGCGCTTAGCCGCCTCATGCTGCCGTACATGTTCCCTGACCTTGCTGCCTTTCCCACAGTCGCTGATCTCATTACGCACCTTCGCACTAGTGACATTCGCTACCGCGCTGCACTTCCTAATGAGTTCTGTGCCAAGAACCCCCCCCCCCCCATGTATATCACCCTCTACTACATAGTCACCCGGCTCCCTGACTCCCTTCGCTTAGTCAGGGACCACTTCCTCTCAGTTTGCCCCACCACACTCACCGTTGACCTCCTCGAGGAGCGTCTCCTAGCAGCAGAGAAGAGCATAGTCGCTGTAGGAGCCTCTCATGGTGACCCTCGCACCCCCGTCTTTGAGGGGTGTTCCCCCTCCCCCCTCTTGCCCTCTATTGCTTCTGCTGCTACGGCCGACCTCGTTGGTTTCGAGTCGGTCGGCGCTGCATCTGCCCCTAGCGGGAGACGCCGCACCGGCAACGGCAAGGGGGACAAGGGCGCTGGGGGGGCTGGCGGGGGCGGTGGAGGTGGTGGTGGAGGGAGTGGAGGGGGTGGGGGTGGTGGTGGGAGTGATGGCGGGGGTGGAGGTGTTGGTGCCAGCTTTGGAGGCGGTGGAGGTGGCGGAGGCGGCGGAGGGAGCGGAGGCGGCGGAGGTGGTGGTGGCGGCGGAGGTGGCGGGGGTGGCGGAGGCGGCGGCGGCGGCGGTGGAGCAGGTCGTGGCTCTGCGCAAAGGAGTGGCTCCGGTGGTGGTCCGCGCCAGCAGTAGCAGCGCAGTCGTGAGACCCTGTCCCCTCAGCAGCTTTGTGAGTGGTACGCTGCGCGTCAGCGCGGTGGGGGTACTGGTCCCTGCACCTACGTTCTCCGTACTGGCGACCGCACTGGTGAGCAGTGCGGGGGGCTGCACTCCACCCAGGGCTGCTTCGGCCGCCTGACGGACGCTTGGCGTCACCAGTTCCCTGAGGCCTCTGAGATCCCTTACTGGGGAGAGCTGTCTAGGGCGGGGGTTGCTATCTTTGATCTTGATTATGATGCTATTCTTGCTGCCATGTATGCTATGTCTGATAGTGTTGAGGGTGATTGTTACCTGTGTGTTCCGCCTGACCCGGGCATTGAGCCTGCTGCTTTAGGTACTGGTGAGGCTGCTGCTCTAGGTGCTAGTGCGTCTGCTGCCCCAGGTGCTGGTGAGTCTGCTCTCTCAGGTACTACGTTGACTCAGGCGTTACACACCTTCACCCCTAACTCGGGTGCTTCCCGCTCCTTCTTTCGAGACCGCACCACGCTTACGCCACTCAGTCGACCAGTTGCAGTCTCCCTGGCGGACCCCTCTGGGGGTCCTGTCCTTGCTAGCTTCTCCAATGTCTTACTGTTCCCGGCAGCCCCATCAGGCACCGTGTCCGGTCTCTACCTCCCCTCGTTCTCTACGAACTTGGTGAGTGGAGCTGACCTACAGGATAGGGGGGTTGACCACGTTTACCCGTCGGCCGGGGTCGAGCCTGTACACCCTTACTATTGAGCCTAAGGGTGCGGAGCCTAGGGGTGCTGAGTCCAGGGGTGCGGAGCCTGGGGGTGCTGAGCCTGGGGGTGATGAGTCTGGGGGTGCTGAGCCTGGGGGTGCTGAGTCTGGAGGTGCTGAGCCTGGGGGTGCTGAGCCTAGGGGTGCGGAGTCTGGGGGTGCTGGGTCTGCTCGTGTGGCCTCTCACGGTACTTCGCCAAGGCGGGAGCCACTCTCTCCGCAAGAGCTACGCGAGTGGTTTGCCCGCCGCTGGAGCCGTGCTGCTAGAGCTGGAGGTACTACTGTTGCTGCTGGTCCAGGAAGTGCTCGTACTGGCAGTAATGGAGCTGCTAGGACTTGGGGTGCTGCTGGGACTGCTGGAGTTGGTCCTGCTGGAGGTACTGCTTGGGCTGCTGGCGGTACTGGAGCTGCCGGTCCTGCTCGAGTTGGTGCTGCTGGAGCTGCTGGAGCTGGAGCTGCTGGGGGTGTTGGCACTATTGGTTCTACTGGCGCTGGTGCGTCTGAGGGTGCTGGGGTTGGCGCGATTGGAGCTAGAGGTGCTGCTGGCACTAGTGCTGCCGCTGGGGGTACTGGTGCTGTCCCTACAAGTTCTGGAGGCACTGCGTGGCCGAGGCCGTACTTTGTTCTGCTCCTTGAGCAGGTTCTTGGTCTCCCGCCCTCTACTAGTCCTGCTCCTCCCTTGGAGTGTCCACAAGCTGTCCAGTCGCGGTCACAGCTACAGCCCGCCTCCCCCCTTCCTCCTCCTTCTCCCTACACTGGTCCTACTGGAGGTCTTGCTGAGCAACGTGAGCCTGCGTCTCGTCCTGCGTCGCCTGTTTGTGCTGCTCGCACTAGTGGTCGTGCTTCGCGTCCGCATCCTCCTGCGGTCCCAGGCACACACCAGATGGCACTGCGTCCTTCCACTGCTCCTCTGCGTGTCCCATTGCCATCTCCTCCAGAGCCCTCTCTTCTTGTTCTTGCTGACCCGGAATCTGACTCTCTTCGTGCTGCCAGTCCTACTGTCACGCGTCTCTTGGCTACTGTTGTCACTGACCCTTCTTTTGAGTCCACTGTTGCGTTTGCCCTAGTTGCTGAGCTTGTCCACTTTGCTGCTCACTGTCGTCTAGACTACGCTGCTAGTCTTGTTGCTGAGTCTGAGTCTATCTGTCCTCCGTCCGTCGGGGGTGAGTGTGCTCTTAGCAGGGACGTCCTTGAGGATAGGCAGGAGGAGTTCTAGTGTTTTGCTGCTGCTTTGCCTCATCTCGTATCCACGCTGATTGCCCCTGAGGGAGACCCGGATGCACCAGACATCCCGACTCCTCGATCGTACGCTGAGGCGATCGAGGGTCCCTACTCCTCTCAGTGGCAGTCAGCCATGGACACAGAGATGGCTTCGTGGAAGTCCACATGCACCTACGTCAACGAGGTTCCCCCACCTGGGGCGAACATCGTCAGTGGCATGTGTATTTTCAAGGTGAAACGGCCGCCGGGTTCTCCGCCTGTCTTCAAGGCGCGTTACGTGGCTCGAGGCTTCAGTCAGTGGCAGGGAGCTGATTACTTTCAGACCTTCTCTCCCACCCCAAAGATGACCACTCTTTGGGTGCTGCTGCACATAGCCGCGCAGCGCGACTACGAGCTTCACTCTCTTGACTTCAGCACAGCTTTCCTGCAGGGCAGCTTGCACGAGGAGATCTAGCTGCGCCGCCCACCTGGCTTCACTGGATTGTTTCCTCCTGGTACCCAGTGGAGCCTCCGGCGGCCAGTCTACAGTCTCCGCCAGGCGCCCCATGAGTGGCACGACACACTGAGGACTACACTTGCGGCTCTTGGGATTGCTCCTTCTACAGCCGACCTGTGGCTGTTTCTGCGCACCGACACCTCTTCGCCGCCGTTCTACATCCTCGTGTACGTCGACGACTTGGTCTTTGCCACAGCTGACACTGCTGGACTCGCCCACGTGAAGTCCGAGCTGCAGAAGAGACACACGTGCACAGACCTGGGTGAACCGCGCAGCTACCTTGGCTTGCAGATCACCCGGGACAGAGCACAGCGCACAATTACCCTGACTCAGTCACACATGGTGCAGCAGGTCCTTCAGCGCTTCGGCTTCACGTACTCCTCGCCTCAGGCCACTCCTCTGTCTACTCGCCACTCGCTCTCAGCTCTGCCTTCAGATGAGTCGGTAGAGCCGAGTGGCCCGTACCCAGAGCTTGTTGGCTGCCTCATGTACCTGATGACCTGCACTCGACCTGACCTTGCATACCCTCTTAGCATCTTGGCACGCTATGTTTCTCCTGGGAGACACCGAACAGAGCATATGGCTGCAGCGAAGAGGGTGTTGCGCTACTTGTGCAGTACGTCGGGCATGGGGCTAGTGCTTGGAGGGCGACGTCGAGTGGTCCTCACAGGTCACGCTGACGCTTCTTGGGCTGACGACCAGGCTACGCAGCGGTCGTCACAGGGTTACACCTTCAGCCTTGGCTCCGGCTCTGTTTCGTGGCGGTCTACCCGCTTGTCTTCTGTTCTCACCTCCAGCTGTGAGGCTGAGATCTACGCGGGGGCCATGGCTGCACAGGAGCTACGCTGGCTAACCTACCTGTTGATTGACCTAGGAGAGTCGCATCGTTCTTCTCCAGTGCTGTACGTAGACAACAAGGCCATGCTGGCCTTGTGTCGGGAGCACAGACTGGAGCACAGAACGAAGCACATTGCTCTTTGCTACTTCCTTGCTCGTGAGGTGCAGCAGGGTGGTCAGCTACGCCTTGCTTATGTGGTCTATGAGGCCAACACTGCTGATATCTTTACCAAGGCACTTCCGCGTTGTGATCATCAGCGCTTCTGTACTATGCTAGGTCTTGTGCCTACTTGGCCTCACTTGCTCACTTCTTGACCTTGCTTGTACTAAGATCTTTCTGTACCTGCACTTGCTTGTTTACCTTTATATATGATCTTGCATGTGAACTGGCCTTGTGGCCTTGCTCTTGTGCTCGGCCTGTGTGGTGACGTTGTGATCCACCCTGAGCTTGCTTTGCTTTGTTTTGCTTGACTGGTCTTGTGACCCCTTTTTCTCCCCCACTTTGCCTATGGGGGTGTGTCAGGCTTATATGACTTAGCCTATGTAGGCTATAGTGGGGCATCACATATGGGGTACAACACATTTCTAGGTTTCGTACTTGTATCCAACTTTCCCTTAGTCATTCCATTCCTCGTTTCTTATCATGACCATCTTTGAAGAGTTGAGCGAGGGGTTCACTCGCCCTCTAGCGTTTGCCAGAGGCCATTCCATCTGCACGAAACGAGTTGGAATTTCAGTACAAGGATGGTTGCAGTCCAGGCTTATTAGAGGACGGAAACGCAGTAAAAACAGTTACTCACCACATTACACGCGTATCCCACTGCCAGAACGGTAGTGGCCTTCTTACTCCCAAAACCACACAGGATGACGAGTTCGAATGCACGGTTCGTAAAAGGACGAGACGTTGCCAAGTTGAAATGCCACCTCGATCCACAATGTGATGTTTATGACAAAAATATACATGGTCACATTCGTATGTTAGTAAATTGTAGCAAAAGAACAAACACCCAGTGTCACACAAACCATGAACACTCACCATGCATGAAGAACAGTGTCTACTCCGCAGGTGACTTACTGCACGGTGGAGCCACTCCCTTGTCTGCCAGTTCCTTCCACTTGCTCTCTGGCACGCACGTGCCCGGGTCGCATCCATACAGCTGAATGTCCGCATTGTAGTTGCTCCGTCACTCTTACCCCTTGCGCATGGCAAGGTTCTCTTTGGCAGGGATGGTGCAGAACATATAGTAGAACAAGTTCTTCCCTATGCCAGCTTCCGCGTATTTCTCAGCCATCATTTCCCTCACCTCCCACCACAGTGGGTAGAACTTCATCCGCCAAGAAGGCGCGTTAGGCGTCATGTACGTGAAGGCCTCCAGCTCCTTCTTGTGGAGTAAGGAAAAAAAGTTAAGAGATCAGTTCTTGTGATACAACGCTTGTACCAACTCCAAGCTGGACATGTGCCATGATATGCACCAACGTACCACAAACAGATGGTCTTGCTCAAGTGTAGTAGGCACCATGACGTTGCAGCTCTGGTCACGTGGGCGCATCAACAAATCAAAGTGCAAAATTACTGTTGCATTCACCACTGCAATCTGCTGCTAGGAGTCGTTTCCAATCTGCTGCCGGAGTGCTTTGAGCAGTGCGACTTTCTCTTTGTCTCGCAAATAAGGCGTTGCTAACGTAGACTCCTTTTCGTCCAGCGCAATCTAGAGATCGAGTGCTCGCTCTTGAGTAAGCTTGAGCGTCATCGTCAAATCGTCGACCTTACCACCAAGTCGAACCTATGCTTGGCTTCGTACAGATAGTACATCTATTTCATAATAGATGAAATCGGATGGGACAAACGGACAAGAAATTAGAAACTGATATGGTATGCAGAACAATATTTGATAGGGCAACATGCGGTTTCCCACTGAGAAAAATTACTCATGAAAAAAACTTGCTTTCACATACACTAATCGATTGTAGTACCTGTGCGTTGACACAAAACTGTCAAACTCATATTATAAAGCTTGTCCAGGCTATAGTGGGGTAGACACTATGGGGTACAGTTTTCTAGGGTTTCCTACTTGTACCCAACCTTGTGCTAGTTCATTCATTCCTCATTCTTTCACATAGTATAGAGCAAGTTCCCTAGTGGGAACGCTTCTTTGGGTCCACCACTGAATTTTTTTTTCTGACCGGAGCGCCAGTTGCTGCTGCCCGAGGCACGCCCTGTGGGCCGCCCTTCCGTCGAGGTCCCTTAGAGGCCCCTCCCACGGCCCCCCGTGCCGCCCCTCGCGGCCCCTAGTGGCCCTGTCGCCGCCCCTACGCGGCCCCGTAGCCGCCCCTAGCTGTGAGAGTACGACGGCTTATGCCAGCTATGCTTGCTTG